TTGGCGGTGTAAATGGCCGCGCCATCCGACTTGCTGCAATCGACGGCGCCATAGTCAACGCACCTCGGCACTTTCCGTACAGACCGTGCACACACTACACAACACACATGACCCCTTAGCTCAGTGGTAGAGTGTGTGATTCCAGCTTTGGCTTCCACAAAGTCATCCGTTCAAATCGGGTAGGGGTCACTCTTTTGCCGTGAGATCATTCTTTTGCCGTGCGGAGTCTTCAGGGTTTTCATCAATTCGCAGGACAATAACTCTCGAGGTGAGCTGCAGTAGGAACCTTGCTTGAACTCGGTTTACTCTCCAAAAGGAGTTCACCTAAGCATCCCACCACTACTAGTGCCATCAGAATAGATTACCGGACACGGGATAGGCTCACCAGCTACTCCACAACGCGTGACAGCGTGAGACGAGTTACTCCATACTTCATACAATAGCGTGGGATGTACACAATTGACAAGCTGAGGGTGCCGTATGATGCATGATACGTCTGCAATTGTTTCGGTTGCTGTGTCTACTTGTATAAGTATACACAAGGTGGTCGAGAGTCGCCATCAAGATTTCTTTCCATCATTGCCCCAGAATGCGGTTGGCAAAACCTTCTGGTGCCCCCAAAGATTCTGTGATACTTGTCCGGGACTCGCAACTTTGCACTGGTAAATAATTTTTCCAATCCGTCCTCTGTCCTTCCTGCTCACTTGATATTACCGACAGATTTTGGTGTTGTGGATGCGGACTGGGCCTCTGATGCATCGGCATGTAGGAGTGTACCTGGTTATTCTTTCTTTTTATATTCAGGTCCGGTTCCATGGTCGTCTGTCAAACAACGAACTGTTCCCCCCCGTCTACTGAGGCAGAATATCGGACAATTTCTCATGCCATGCGCGAATTTACTCGCTCCAATTGACTTACCGGTCCGAAAGCCATCTCCAATTTTTTGTGACAATAGGAGGAATGCTGTCAATGTTTCTCATTTTGTTCGTGATCAATTCCGGTCGGGCTCCTTCTCTGCACCTTGGATAACAAAGTCTCTTCTAAAAGCTCCACATTATAGGTTCATTCCTGCTTTGGGCTTGGTATCCCGATCCTGATTCCACTTTTTTTGTTGTTCGTCGCCCATGGGGTTGTGTTGCAATTGTCTTGTCCGGAGGAGATAATATTTTTGATGGCCATGTGTCCAAAGCATCTACATATTCTGCGCGAATAGTATTCGCGTCAGGCTGGCAAGGCAGTAAGTCACTCTTTAATTAGTTTCTACATTATTCATTCTTACAGTTGCTATCTATTTTAGGTATGACATCTCAGTCGTATCTATGCTGGCACTGAGGCCTCTTATTGTCTTTAGATCATTGGGGCGTGCGCAGTCTACATCCGACTCCGACTTTCACCAAAATAGGCTTCAAATAAAGCTTATTGTCTAGTAACATATATATGTCTTGCATCTGCAATCCATACCGACAGCATTTCAATCCTACTGGGTACGAGAGGTGTCGATACTCTATAAAATTCATCAACTGGAAGCAGAAGACTCAATCCAACGCCGCCCATGTCTTCTATCACCAAAACCCTTTTCCTCGTCACCAAAATCATTTTAATCGTTGTCACTACATATGCCATCATGATTTCCTTCACAAACCCGAACCCGGACGTCACAGACAACGAACGCAAGCCCGATGAGAGCGCGATGTTTATGTACCTCATGGCCAAATATGCACCCCAGTTCAGGGCAAGTACAGCTCTACAACACAACAAAGCAACGTCACTAACAACGCCAACCAGTGCATGTTCTGGCTCCCTGCAGTGGCAGAAATCGTTGACATCCTCTTATCAACGGCAACTCCTCTCAGATCACAGGAGGTCACGGTCGCCACCGATGCCGGCCAAAGGGACAATGTCGACAACCTGCGCCTCACGCCTCTCTCCCTCACCGGCTCACTTATTGCTATAGCCGGCGCCCGGCTGCGGCTCGAATGCTACCACGCCCTCCAGGAATTCTTCACCTTCGAAGTAACCGTCCGCCCAAACCACCGCCTCATCACACACGGTCCATACAGCTACGTCCGCCACCCTTCGTACACCGGGATGGTGATGGTCTTCATCGGCACATGCTGCTGGTTTGCCTCCCCCGGTTCGTGGATCCGCAGATCAGGCAAGGTCTGGAAGGTGTTCATCGTAGGACTTATGATGGTGTATCTTGGATTGCTAGTTGGCTTGATGCAGCGCATGCCAAAGGAGGATGAGCTGCTGAAAGAAACGTTCGCAGAGGAGTGGGAAGACTGGGCTCGTCGTGTGCCCTACTGGCTTGTCCCAGGCATATTGTAGGAAGTTTCGTGGACGGTGCATCAGCATAGGTTTACCGTAAGTGGCCCCACTCATTAATATGGCTAAATGTGTCTCTGACAAACGACCAAGTACATATATTATGGACTTGACTGCTTACATGAACCCTCAGTTGTTGTGGATACCCAGACAATGTACATTTACTTGACCTACCTTAGAATAGACCTCACTAATGTGTTCTTACGTATGAGTCTCGAGGTTACAGATCTAGTTTATAACAAAATTGTATGTACTACATACAAATCAACACAGGACAGTCTTTTGGTTGCAGCGCGTCACTACTCTACACCAATTAGCTACGAAGCTTTTGTCTGCATCATTGCAAGTCATAAAGCAAGGATTGTAGCCCACCTACTACACGACAAGTAGCGGTAGCGGGAACTTGAACTGAACAAGAAGTAAAGTTTCATTTTGCAAGAAGCGCGAGAAGTACAACCACAAGGTGAACAGAACACAATGGAAAGAAAATTTGTGTTTTTGTAAAAACTCGTTCCAAGGAGAACGATCAGAAGGACCAGGTCAGAATCCGAATGAATAATCAAGGAGAAAATTCCTAGATTCCATGTCAGAGACCAGCTCAGCAAGAGTTGCTATGATTCATAGCACACTGGTAGTACCAGTGGAGCAAATGCCAAACGGCAAAAGGCTGGGATAATAGGACAACTTAACACGCCCCGGAAACTTTGATTCATTTACTTGATTCGAACGACATAGAGCTTGCCACCATCACCGATGCCGATACAGTTATGGCACGTATTACCTATTGCAGATGTGGAAACCTAGAACGGAGCTTCGAGGGGACAAGAGAGACAGGAAGTCGCTCTGGTGCTGTGGACATCTCGTAGTGGGAGGACAGCGACACCTATACGCGTTCCCAGGGCTGCTTCGACATCCTCCAAGTCTTGTACCGTGCACGCCGCGCGCATCTTGGTCGACTCGATTGTATGGAGTACCTGTAAAATGTGCGGATGAAGAGCCAACTCTTGCGCGCAGAAGAGGGAAACGAACGTCATACAGATGATCTACCAATTCATCCGCGAAACTATCAAGCTTTTGGACATTCATAAGCTGTCTGTCCGGCTCGTACTTCGCTAATGTACCTCGCGAGGTCATCCAGGCCCTCTCAAAACCCATGATGCTGTTCGGAGTTCTGGGACATTGCATTTGCGCCCGTATTTGACTCGAAGAACGGAAACAGCAGCTCTTCCTCCATGGTGTTATGATGGTGTATCAGCAAATTCATCCGCAAAACTATCAAGCTTTCGGACACTCATAGGCTGCCTGTCCGGCTCGCAGAAACCCACGATGCTGTTCGGAGTCCTGGGACATTGCATTCCCCTCATATTCAACTCGAAGAACGGAAACATCAGCTCTTCCTTATGATGGTGTATCATCGCCAGCTAAGTAATTGCAGTCAGTCCCATTTCTCAGCACCGGTAGAAAGTGTCCTCTGTTCGAACACGCACAAGGGAGCTGCAGAAGAACGCAAACGCGTTGACCTGGTGCCCTTGGATCTTTGGCGCATGTACCTAGACGGCGTTAATCTCACGTATGAACATATCATGCGCTATCGACATCTCACTGTTAGAAACGTTTTTTTTTTCGAAAAGAGCGTTTACTCATTACAAGGAGGACAACAAAAAAGCAGCAGATTTGAACTTGTCAAGGTCAAAGTTATTTGATCCTCATGTCAGGCTGTGATCGATGGCGCACCGTGACCATCAGTGAAGAAAGCGACAAAAGGCTGAGATAGCACCCTCGATTCCTCTGCTTGATTTGTATCTTCATGGGACTTTATCAGAGGCGCTCATCCCCTGCGTATCCATGTATCCCTGCACACTGCCTGTACAGCCATCAAGGAAGAGTTATTATGCTTGCAGGGATGAATAACCTTGCGTGAGTCCACCAGAGGTTACCATCAATGAAATATAAGACCCAAACAACTTTTTGGACCAAACCAAACCACGGATTCCTCTGCGACTCGTCCTTCCATGACAAATCGGGGGTAGACCCGTCAAGTGGTTGGGACGGATTCAAAGGAGGCGGAACGCTAAGGGTAAGGATGCGATAGTGAGATCCAGCTCGCCACTAGTGTAAATTGGATTCTGCGGCTTGAAACACAACGGCTATAGGTCAGGTGTTATGGAGGAGGGGATGGTGGAGGTGATTGTTGGATGTAAGCGTGAAGCCGATTAGGTTGGATTGATATAGGTTGGATTCATGATGGTAGTAGTCGTAAAAAAGCTAGCAGCTCAAACAGAAGGGTTGACAAAGAAGGATAATGAAAACTACGAATACAAGTGCAGGGTGAGCGAGCATTTGTCGAACCATGGACGAACTAGGCTTACATTAGACAATCGGACTCTGAGCAACAGCAAAGCCAAAATTAAGGCGAGTCCTGTGAGAGATGAACATCACGCATCGGTGGCTTAGAGACATGTCTTACCGTGCAGAGTAGAATAGAATAAATAAATGCATAGAATATTAAAACGCGAAAGGCTACTCTGCACGGAAGCAGTCAGAGATGGTATGGTGAGAGAGCGACTACGCACTCACCTGTGCTGCAACGGCGCCATCCAAGGCAGACGCACTTTGGCATTTTCTGGCCACACCGACCCCTTAGCTCAGTGGTAGAGTGTGTGATTCCAGCCTCGGCTTCCACAAAGTCATCCGTTCAAATCGGGTAGGGGTCAATCTTTTGCCACGCAGACAGACGTGATTCACATCTCACCTCGCGATCTCTACGTCTAACAAGATCTCTGCCTCAATAATTTACCTTGTACGACGGGAACACACCTCAGGGCATCAGAACTTACGTCCGCCATAGTCAATCCAACCAGACA